CAGAATAAGAAGCAAAAGGTGGGTGTGGCTGGATGACCACACTTTTGGCAACACGGGGTTGCGGCCTAATATGCTAATGAGCAGTGGCGGCAGGGTGTGGCCTAATATGCTAATGAGTTTCAGCTGTTGGGTGTGGCCTGTTATGCTAATGAGTTCCTGCTGGGCTTTTTCTACAAAAAAAGCCCTGGATAAATATACAGCCTGTTTATGTGATTATAGCATACCTTGTCTGTAGGACTTGGGTCATATAACTGTTTTACTTCTTCTACGTTCATAGCTGAACTAGGTCACAATTATTCCCTTTATAGATAGGAAACTGAAAGTGACACATCAGTCAGTCTTCGGACAAGCTGCGAATGGAACCCACTTGCAATGCTCCCTCTAAGCTGTGGAGTCTTGTGAGCAAAAATTCTACTTTGTGAACTACTGGCATTAGAGTTGTGAGCGAGCGGTTTGGCTACTGCATAAATTAGTCTGCTCTGGAGCCAGTTTGGTGTCGTGGTTAAGTGGACGGACTCTAATCTGGGAGAACCGGGTTTGATTCCCCACTCCTCCATTTGCACCTGCTGGATAACCTTGGGCAAGCCATAGTTCTGGCACAGCTGTCCTTGAAAAAGAGCAGTTTGTGTCAAAGCTCTCTCAGCCCTGCCTGCCTCCCAGGGTGTCTGTTGTGGGGAGGGGAAGGGAAAGGAGTTTGTAAGCCGCTCTGAGATTCCTTTGGGTAGTGAAGGGCGGGGTGTAAATCCAATCTCTTCTTCTTCATCGTCCTTCCTGAGCTAAGAAAAAAATATGTGAGCCAGAGGCTAAAAAACTTGTGCACTAGCTCACACTAACTCAGCTTAGAGGGAACACTGGAACCCATGTCCCAGTCCATTTTTATCCCAGTGGCTCATATGAGCTAGTTACTCACACACACACACCCCAGTACACATCCCAAGTTCAAAATCCCTGTTTCTTAGCTGTGTTGCAAAAGTCGATAAGAGGGTGTTTCTCATACAGATTTGATGCATTTCTCATATGATGGTTCTCATGCTGAAGCCCCAGATTTCACGTCCTAGCCAGTGTTCCCCCTAAGCTGAGTCAGTGTGAGCCAGCTCACAGTTCTTTAGCCTCCGGCTCACACATTTTTGCCTTAGCTCAGGCAGGAAGTCTCCAGAGCAAACTAATGGACCCAGCAGCCAAATCTCTCGCTCACAACTTGCCAGTTGCTCACAAAGTGGAATTTTTTGCGCTCAAGACTCCACAGCTTAGAGAACATAAGAACATAAGAGATGCCATTGTTGGATCAGGCCAAAGGCCCATCCAGTCCAACACTCTGTGTCACACAGTGGCCAGAAATACCAGGTGCCATCAGGAGGTCCACCAGTGGGGCCGGGACATTAGAAGCCCTCCCACTG